TTTTTTCAAAATTGTGTTGACTAACTGTGGACACTTAGTCAATGTGATTTTTTTTTTTGTATCAGTTTGTCAAATTCCCAAAAACTCCTGATGATATTTTTATAGGAATTGAATTTAACTTATAGAAGTTAAACTTGGAGATAACTGACAACTTTACAATGGTAAGTCATTCTATCAATAACTATATGGTATATTTCTCCTTTTATTTGGTTTCCTTGTACATCCTTTGAGCTTGGACAGAAGTGGCATGTGTAACTTCAAGGATATGCCCTAAAAGAGAAGGAGCATGCCTTTCTCCTCCTCTTTCCTCCTTGCTGGCTAGACTGTGGATAGGAATATTGAAGATGAAGCAGCTGGGGCACCTGGGCGGCTCATTCGATTAAGCTCTGACTCTTGGTCTCAGCTCAGGTCTTGATTTCAGGATCGTGAGTTCGAGCCCTAGGCTGGGCTCCACCAATGTGGAGTCTCCTTAAAAAAAAAAACAAAACAAAACAGTAACAACAAAAAGAAACCTCAGAAGCCATTTGGGATCATGAAGTGACCTTGGGCTAGATACCATATATAGCCGAGTAACAAGTTAGAAGGGGCCCGGATTCCTCCCCCTGTGAATTTCCATATGGGCCTAGACACTTATTTCTGAACTTCTTTGGGAAAGAGAAATAAAACTCCAATTTATTTGAACCTCTGTTCCTTCACAGTGACCACATAGTTATGTTCTACCTCAGTGGTTCTCAAAGTGGTGTTCCTTAGAACAAGAGCCACAGCATCACCTGGAACTTACTAGAAATACCCATTCTTGGGACCCTCTACTGAATCAGAAGTGCTGGGTAGGGCCCAGCAATCTGCTTTAATGAGCCCTCCATGTGACTGTAATGTGTGCTACCATTTGAAAAGCATTGTTCTATTTCTCTCCTAAGTCCAACACACACAATAGGATGTCCATGGGACGACTGCCTACTTTCTTTAGGAGGCAGAGCTCAGAGGTTATCCTGGAAGTGAAGGCTTCCACACGTATACTTTGTGTGAGTTGAGTAGAGGGCAAGAGAAAGATGTGACAATTTTATTTATTCCTAATACAGTTGTTTCATGAATGGCTGATGGTTGCCCATGTCTCCTTCCTGCTGACTTGTTGAACTAGGCTAATTAAAGACTCCACATTTGGCTCATAGGTCACCAGTCCATGATTAGATTCATATTCAGGCCATTCTGATTCTAGATAATTAGAAGATTTACCCATTAATCCACAGCATTTTCCCCTTTCACTGCACTACACAGCATTACAAGAATGTTCTGGTCCTCTGGGCACTTTAAATGAGAGATAATTCCACACTTCCTGTCAAGAATTCCCTAGGCACACCTTCTGCCAAGTTTCCAATTCAAAAACCAATTTTTGAAAACCACTTTCTGAAAACCAGCTCACATCAAATTCAATTTATTATTCAATCAGTTTATTAATCTATTGAGATCTCCTATTCTTTTGCTTTCTGTCTCAGCAAACTGACTTAAGTGAAAATGAGGGTTTATTGGCTCACAAAGTGAATTCCTATAGTATAGGTAGTGGTAGCCTCAGGCATGGCTGGATCCAGAGGCCCAAAGGAATCCTCAGGGCTTCATCTCTCTCCTGGCACCTGTTGGAGCTACTTTCCTCTGTGTCAGCTCCATTCTCAGTTATTTCCATGTTGTGTCTGTAGCAGCTCTGGTTTCATAATCTTTATAGTTGGCAATCCTAGGAGTTCCAAAACGGCACCAGAATGGAGACTCAGTGGCCTGGTTTGTGTCATGTGCTCATCCCTGAACCACAGGCATAAAATATTCTGACATTCCTGTAAGTACTTGCACATCCTAGGCTGAGTCTGGGTTAGGTAAGTGCCTCCATCATCCAGGAGCAACCATGTTGGTGCCCTCCATGAGACTTCTCCCTTTTATCTTTGTGAGTCTCTTAGGGATAAGGAGTACGCAGGGCCTAGAAGAGCATAACTTTATCTGAGGATTGGCAGGTTAACTATTAATGATCTTTGCCAAAACGTACAGATCCAGAAAATCCAGTGAATTGAAAAAACAGAGGCAAGGAGACATGACATTATGAAATGGGTAGAGAGGAAGGCCTGGGAGAAAGATAGTGAGGGACTGAGGATCATAAACAGATAATTATAGCTATAGTGAAAGACAGACTTATGAGGGGTAGACAGAGACACATAGAGAGATGAAAACCAATAGGCAGGATCTGTAGCTGAAATGGAGAGACAACAATAGATCCTCCCTCCACCACCCAGTACACACACACACACACACACGTGGAAACATTGCCACAGAGAAATAATAATTCAAGGAGCCCAAAAATAACATGTCTATTGGGTAGGAGGGATCTAGGATGGTTATCTGAGAGATTCATTCAGGGATGCTGGGATAGGTGTTTCTAGAAAGTAGGATGTGAACGATGGTGCAACCACAAACCCAAGGTCTGGTAGGATCGTGTACTCATTCATTACGTATTTACTGAAACCACAAAAGAAAGCCACAACTTAATGAAAAGTTTATTTCAAAACTTGAACAGACTTTCCTCCAAAGGGGTGCAAATGGCCAAAAAGCACATGAAGATGCCCAATATCATTCATCATGAGGGAAATGGAAATCATACTGCAGTGAAGTACCACTTCCCACCAGTTGGCTGGAACTTGAAAAAATGAAAATAACAAGTGTCAGCAAGGATGTAGAAAAATTGGAGCCCTGTACATTGTTGGTGGGGATGTGAAATGGTGTAGATGCTAAATACTCGTAGTGGCATCATTCACAGTAGCACAAAAAGTGCACACAATCCATATGTCTATCAAAAGATGAATGGATAAACAAAAGCTGGTAGAGCCATACAATGACATATCAGTCAGCTATAAAAAGTAAAAAGAGGGGCACCTGGGTGGCTCAGTCAGTTAAGCATCTGCCTTCAGCTCAGGTCATGATCCTAGGGTTCTGGGATCAAGCCCTGCGTCAGGTTCCTTGCTTGGCGGGGAGCCTGCTTCTCCCTCTCCCTCTCCCTCTGCCTGAAGCTCCCCCTGCTTGTGCTGTCAAAGAAATAAAATCTTAAAAAAAAAGTAACAAAGAACATGGGGTGCCTGGATGGCTCAGTTGGTTAAGCATCTGACTTGATATCGGCTCAGATCCAAGCCCCATATTGGGCTCCATGCTCAGCAGGGTGTCTGCTTGAGATTCTCTCCCTCTGCCCCTCCTCTACCCCTGCACTCTCTCTAAAATAATAAATCTTTTAAAAAAAGTAATGAAGGACTGATGCATGCTACAGTGTGGATGAACCTCAAAAACATGTTAAGTAAAACCAAAACAAAATATTTTATGATTTCATTTATATGAAAAGTCCCTAGTAGGGAAATCTATGGAGACAGGCTGCAGATTGGTGGTTGCCATTAGCTGGAGGATGGGGTGCTGGCAAGTGACTGCTTCAGGGGCACAGGTTTCTCATTTAGGACCGTGAAAATGTTTTAGAACTTGATACAGATTATAGTGGCTGCTTAACACTGTGAAGGTACTAAATGCCACTGAATTTGTTATTATGTGGTGAATCTAAAAATGGTTATGTGACTTTTACTTAAATTAGATTCATGTTCTGTGTTCTTTTATGTGATGGTCTGTCAGGTGCAGCCATAAGAGAACAGAAGCCCAAGAACACAAAATTGATTATACTCCAAGGTCTGAAAGAGGAGGTCGCTGCATGTCCCCCAGGGTCACAGGGGCAGCATCAGGTATGGTCAGGTGACAGAAGGCAGGCCTGAGAAAACAGCTTTTCCCATGAACTTTGCTGGAGTGGGAAAGGCAAGGCAGGATAGGGTAAGCAGTTTAGGACTGGCTGGTTTGAGTATTTTCTGTGGTCTCTAAGTTGCTGGGGGGACCTCAGATGCCTCGCACCTGGCTTGGGATGATTAAAGCAGAGGAATATGGCCTTCTGGGGGTGTACTCAGGACAAAGAGAGAGGAAGTATGGCCCTGAACTGGTTTGTTTGCTGATGAAAGGCATGCTCCGGGATGAGTCCTTCGCTATCTCTAAGAACTAGCTGGCCCTGGGAGGGGCAGTCTCTCCCAACCCAGAAAGGGATTTTTTTTTAAGGATGACAAAATGGCCTAATATGCAGAACTTAAAATATATACATATATATATAATAACATATTGGAAAGGGAGAGAGAGGGAGAAGCAGAGAGAACCTACCGACCTAGGTTCTGGGAACAGCGCTGAACCCGGAGTCCTTGCTCTCCTGGAGCTCGCCCTCTAGTGGGGGCAACTTAAAATAGAAAGTGAGGTAAGATAAGCTTGGGTAGTGACTGGGACTTTGAAAACAGGAAAGCAGAGTCAGGTAGTAGAACATACAGTAGGGGGTGGGGAAGCCATTCCAATAAGGTGGTCAAAGAAGGTCTCCCTGAGGAGGGAGCATGGAGCAGAGACACGTGAGTGGAGGGGAGCTCCATCTGGAAAGGCTATCTAAGGAGAGGAGGCAGCAAGTGCAAAGTTCTGAGATGGGAGTGTGTGTGTGGGGAGATCTGAAGAGCAGGGTGGCCAGGAGGGACATGGAGAGGGTGACCCGGCCAGGGCCAGATCATGCAGGCTTATGGAGACCCAGGAGGCCTTTTGGAATTGTTCTAGATTTAATGGGAAGACACAGAGCATCAGGTGACGCAACCTCCATGTGGCACAACCACAGGGGGCGCCATGTACATGGACCACATTGTGAAGGAGTGTCCCTGGAGTTGGCTGAGTGGGCGGCCCTGCAACCCCAACTCTCTTACGCATGGCAGACATTGCTCATCAATTACAGGCCCCACTCACCCAGCATAGAATCCTTCTCCACCAGGGACCCCAGATGACCTCAGCCAATTCCTCAGAGCTGAGTGTGCCAGGCCCAGTCTCTGCCATCATTTTCCCTGGCCCTTAGCTGACACAGGGACCTCCTGGGGCTGGTCTGACAGAGACACGGTGACACAGAGTGGGAGCAGACCTGATCAGTTCTTTATTGGAAAGGGGATGCTGTCTGTAATCCGACAAATCTGTGACCCCAAAAAAATCTCGAGTTCAAGACCCAGTTGGGATGCTGTGAGGTCGTAGTTGCCACGGAAAAAGCCACGGGAATGGCAATTATGCCAGCGCCAATAGACCTGGATGATGCGGGCAGCGTGGAGCAAACGGCAGTATCTCTGGCGGATGCGCCACATGCGGACCAAGGACTGCAGCTTGACCGCTGCCCATTCTTGCCGCAAGAAGGACTCGAGGACTGCTTGTTTTCTCTTCTCCAGCAGCTTTGCCAGCGTCACCTTCCACCAGTGCTGAATGATACATGCTCTGAGTGCTGCGTGTAGCAAGGTCCTGCGCACCAGAGTACCCCGCCACCACGCCTGGATCTTTATGGCTTTCTGCTCTTGGTCAGGGCACTTCTTTTTCTTTGGGGGGAGAGGTTGCAAAGATAAAGAAGGGATTCTCAGGGAACATTCCCCACCCACCTCAGCTCCAGGGCATGCCAAGAAGGGCTTCCTCAGAAGTTCAGGAGCACTGGGCAGGGACCCAGTAGACCAGATATGTGTCCTGTCTCTGCCCCTCTCTCTTAATGCACCTGGACATATCACATTGTCCTCTGAGGCTCAGGCTCCTCATCTGTAAAATGGAGCATTCTGGCACTAGCTATCCCACCATTACATGGACGTGGTTGGCCTGTCTGGAACAAGCATGCCATGAATCATGTTCCACCTGGGCCTGGCCACCTACCTGGGCTGCATAGTCCTTCCCTCCCCCCCGCCACCGAGACGGCTGGAGAAGCAGCATCCTTTGTTTGCTTTCATGCCTGACTCCAGCTGAAGCTGTGTCCCTCTGTCAAGTCACAGTATTAGAAGTTTCCCTGCTCCACACAGTGTGGAGTCTTTCTCATTTGGCTCTCACTTTCACTTCTTTGTGTTCTCACAACTTAAACTTCAGTTAGCACGCATACATGCACACATGTGTCTGCAGGCGCACACACACACAGTTCTAGACTCAGCTTTCCCTGTACGTGGCAATGCCCTCTCCAAACACAGCCTCACTGTCCCATGCCCCAGCTTGGCATGGTCCGATTCCCACTTGTCAGGGGTTCCCCTCCGTCCAACCAAGTGTCTGTGCCTCAGTCACCCCCACCTCTCTGACTGAGAAGGAACTCAGAGGAGAGGATAACCAAGGATGAGGTGGAATGAGTACCTACTCATTCCAGCTCTGGACAGGGCAACCGTTCATCTTGGTTGGCCTGGGACATTCTCAGTTTATGCTTATTATTCCTGAAGAATCATTCATAGCACTTTCGCTTACAAATGGAACCTGGTTCAGATGACAGATTCCAGGATCAAGCCATGCTATGGGGCAGAGAGAAGACAACCCATCAGTCCTTGAGAATAGGAGTCACCCTCAACTTTGAGGGCCTTCAGTGACCTACCTTTGGTGGACAGGGTGGGGGTGGAGATGGAGGAGGTGTGGGTGGAGGCTCTTTTTTCTTTTTCTTCTGTTTTTCTTTCTCTTTCAGCAATGTGGTTTCATCAACATCTTCTATTATGATTTCACAAAACTGGCCATCCTTCTGTAATCAGAGTTTAGAGGGGAAAGGTATGGGTAGGTGTTCTCTGTACAACTTTGTGCCACGTCCACCTCATACTCAACTTCCTGCCTGGCCCAGAGTCCCTAGATGTAGAACTCGCATCCTGAGTTAACTGTGGAAATCCACCTTCCCCTGCCTGCAATTCTGGGTGGCTCTCTCTTACACAAAACCGAATGCCCATGACTTGGATATAGATGGTTCAAAGCCCCTCAGGTCTGTAATCCCTTAAATTTCCCATGGCTAGGAGTGTAATGGTTCCATTGCTCCCAGGTCTGTACTCTCCCGGCCGCAGCCTGGCAGGAAGAGACAGGGATATGATGTCATAAGGGCACCTATGACTCAGGCACCAGGATGGTTCCAGACAGTTGAGTTCTTTTTGATGAAAATGTGGAAGTCTTTGCCCACTCTTTCCTACCATAAGTGCCCAAAATTTGGCAAAAAAGGCAGCACACAGAAAATACTGCCCATGGACACAAAAGTGTATAGAGACAGTCATTTCAGGCTGGTCGATAAAAACATAAATTTGAGACAATTTAAACATCCATTAATAGAGCATTCAATTAGATGCATTTCATTTCAAACAATGGCACCAAATAACAATTAGAAAGAAGGAGTTTTCAGCAAAATCTTAAACAAGCACTTCACTAAAGATTTATGAATGGCTAGGAAGCACATGAAAAGATCCCCAACATCAGTCACAAGGGAAAGGAAAATCAGAACCACAATAAGATCCCCCCGAATACCTTAGAGAATGGCTAACATAAAAAATACAATGCCAAATACTGGCAAAGACATACAACAGCTGAATCTCTTCTAACACTGCTGGTGGGAAGGTAAGAAACAGAAACGCTTTGGAAAGTGGTTTGCCTGTTTCTAATGAAGTTCAGCATCTACCCACCCTATAACTCAGCAGTTCTACACCTAGATCTTTACACAAGAGAAATGAAAACACGTGTCTGCAAGAGTTATGCATGCATATTCATAGCAACTTTATTCAAAGAGGTCAACGCTGGAAACAATTCAGATGTTTACCCATAGGGGGCTAGGCAAAGAAATTGTGGCATATTCATTTAATGAAATAATACACGGTAATAAAAATGGACAAATGACTGACACCCACAATAACGTAGGTGAACCTCAAAAACATGCTAAATGAAAGAAGCCAGACATCAAAGAGCATTTACAGGATGATTCCACTTACAAAAAGTTAGAAAATAGGCAAAATGAAACTATGGGTAAGATAATTCTAAAGAGAGTTTACATCTGGGGTAAGGTATGAGAGGTATTGCCAGCAAACAGGACAAAGAAAGAGGAATTTGCTATATTTTGTTTTGTGTGGTGGTTACCTGGGGATGCAGAATCATAAAAACTCATCAAACACCATTAAGAAGCACCTGATAAAGCCACAGAGAGGGCTTTTGTAGAGAGGAGGCCATTTAAGGTTGGAGGGCGTTAGTGTGGAGGTAACGGGATGAGGGGTGGGGAGGAGGGGGTTGGCTGGAAGAAGCAGGAAGAGGTTGGGACACATGGAAGAGGGAAGGCAGGGAAGCATCTGTTTGGAGATGTAGGTGTTGGACCATCCCCAGATGCCAGGCTTGCATCTCTGGATTTCTTTCTTAGTTTAGGTCATGGCCCAGAAATTTTTTACTATATTGTTAGTTTTCAATTCATTCAAGCAGAAATTTGTGGGGTTTTTTAAAGATTTTATTTATTTATTTATTTGAGAGAAAGCATGAGCAGGGGGTAGGGGCAGAGGCAGGGAGCCCGATGTGGGACTCGATCCCAGGACCCTGAGATCTTGACCCGAGCCAAAGGCAGATGCTTCACCAACTAAGCCACCCGGATGCCCATTCAAGCAGAAATTTAAAAAAAATATATATATTGATCAGCTTTTCCAGTTCTTCTCAACAAAAGGATTAATCCTAATGACTCAGCACACCATTATCTGACGTGGAAATCTCTCCAGATTATATGAGCTTTTTCCAGATTGAAGCAGTTAGACACTCGGTTACATTAGTTTCAGGTGCACAACACAGTGACTGGACACGTTTAACCCCTGCTATATTTTTATCTGCCACCTTATTTTCAACTTTTCATCACATTTTTTTTTAAAGATTTATTTATTTGAGAGAGAGAGAGAATGAGAGATAGTGAGCACGAGAGGGAAGAGGGTCAGAGGGAGAAGCAGACTCCCCGGTGAGCAGGGAGCCCGACGTGGGACTCGATCCCGGGACTCCAGGATCATGACCTGAGCCGAAGGCAGTTGCTTAACTAACTGAGCCACCCAGGCGCCCTCATCACATTTTATTAACAAAATAGAGGTGTCTTTTTTTCCCTCAGCATTCTTATATTTATTCAAATTCAAAAACCAAAGTTTGATTCTCGTACTGCTAGGGTACACAGAGCACATACAATCATATACAGAGCGCATGTAACAGTGAAGAGCAAACCCCCTGGGAAACCTTCTAGAATAACAGTCACCTTGAAAGAATTCTGAAGACCAAGAGTTGCTAATGAAGGAATGTGTTGAAGTCAGCCTTCCTCCCACAGGCCAGATGCGGAGCCTGGGGGCCAGGTCACTCTTGTTCAGCTCAGCCTGTGGCGCCGTCTCGGGACTGTCTCCACCACAACAGCTTCTCGTGCTTTCACGCCATCCTCCCTCCGGACAGTGCCGGGAAGTTTGGTTTCTGTGTGTGTGCATGGGGAAAGGTGACAGCACCACAGACTCCCGAGACACGCCATCATCGTGGGAGCGCGCCTTCCCAGGCAAAGCGACAAGACTCGTGTGGGTGGCGGAGGGACGGTCCCAGCTTGTGGAGAATACCCTTTGGGTAACACCATTTCTCTCTCTTTAAAAAAAAAAGTATTAAATTCAATATGCTGGCTAACTGAACATAAAAAAAATAAACAGTATTAAATTCAGATGCACACAGGACCACAAAAATAGTGATCTATTATGTTTTATTACGAACACATCTTGGATTCTTACCTTGCTCTTTTGCCAAGGATATTAACGTTTTTGGAAACATCTGAACAAGAGACCTATCAATCAAAATAATTCTGCAGAATCTTGCTGAAATGACCCAGAGAAGAATATGAAATAGTGTTCCCGGGTCCCAGAGTACAGAATCTCTGTGACTTCCTGGAATTCTAGAAATCTCCAATGCAGCCATATGCTGAGGGGATTGGATGCAAAATGTTCAGCAGGTTTTCCCATGTATCTCAGACAGCTTTCAGCATTTGTGTGAAAGAATTGCCTTTGCCTCACAGAAGAGATCCAACAGAGAGAGTCAGTATCTTGAGGTGGAAAGTCAGGACAGGGGACAAAGGCACCGAGCAATCAGTGAGCTCCAGGGAAAGCAGCCTTTGGAAAGAGAAGCACCAAGACAGGGATGCTGCTGCCCACTGATGGCCTTTCCTTGGATGTCCAAGGTCAATGCGACCCTGGTCCCACCACGGCTAGAAGAGATGCATGAAAGAACCTCACTGTGCTCTTTCGTCTTCAGAATAACATCTGGGCCACCACCACCTCGGCTGAGGATCTACCCATCTGCTCCTTGGTCAGCTCAGAGCCCCCGCCGGTAACCTGCGGCTGCCTGGCCTCCTTGCTCACCGTCAGCTTCCTGGAGAGGTATATGCCCATGGCCTGATCCTCCTGGAGGAATCTCTCCACGTCTTTGTACGCTTTTGTATATTTGTACTTAACAATGAGTTCACACCCCCGATGGCAAACCTCTGCATCCTGCTGGGGGAGGTGGTATGTGGAGTCGAGGCTTTGTAGAGTTTTTCAGGGGTCGAGAGTCTTCTGCTTCAAGAGATGCTCCAGAAGCAAGACAAGCTGGTCTGGGAGGAGCTTTGCAAACACTTCTTTGGTCTCCCTTTGTTTCTGTTTTCAGGGTCTCTGGTCACTCATATTCATTTCTTGACCGTGTGAGCCTGGCAGTGGCTCACCCCCAGAAGGGGAGTGGGGGCTGGCTGTCAGGAGAGCAGGAGGAATGCGGGGGCCCGCAACACCTAAGGCACAGCTCGGGAGGTGGGCAGCAGGGGCGATAAAATAAATCAAGGTGTCTCTTGATTCAGCAAGGAAGTCTGTATTTTTAATAGATGAATGCTGCAAATTCACATTTATCATGATTTCTAATATGACTGGAGTTATTGTGATACTGTTTTATGGCTTCCACGCCTGGTTTTCCCAAGAAGTGGCCACAGAAGGGAGGAATGCTTTGTGTCGCAGCCCCTGGGGAGGGAGGGTGTTGCCCCTCAGCTCCTGGCCTGGCCTTCCCAGCTGACAGCCAGACTCTCTGTTGTCCTACCCTGAGTGGAGGAGATGCCTGGGCCGGGGTTGCAGAATAATAAAGCCCAAGTCCTATACTCCCTGGGGACAAGCATTAGACCATGTTCCCTGTCCCTATTTGCATTCCAGTGAGCCTGAAATCTAGGGTCTATTTTAGAGAGGAGATTTTCCAGCTCTGCCTTGGGTGGACTAGACCTAGCACCGCCCCCCTTCTATGTAATAGATTTCCATAAGTGGTCATCAGGTTGGGTAGGCTAGGGTATCCTACATCATGGCCTTCTTTATTTCAAGCTCCATCTGGCTTTGCGGACCATAGAGTTGTAACAGGAATCAAGGAGGGACCTGGTAACATTGTCTGGGGGCCTGAATCTAGGTGCAGCTACAGCCATATTTGCTCCTTGAAAAACGGGCCTCCAAGAGATAACCATGTCAAATCCCTGGAACCTGGGAAGGTTACCTCCTACAGTAAAAGATGGGATTAAGTGAAGGGTCTTGCGAGGAGGGGTTTATCCCGGATTATCTGGGTAAGACCTACATGCCATCACACGCATGCCTTATCAGAGAGAGGCTGTGGGAGTTTTGAGAGAGACACAGAAGGAAAGATGATGTAAAGATGCAGGCAGAGGGGCGCCTGGGTGGCTCAGTCATTAAGCAGCTGCCATCCGCTCAGGTCATGATCCCAGGGTCCTGGGATTGAGTCCCACATCGGGCTCCCTGCTCAGCGGGAAGCCTGCTTCTCCCTCTGCCACTCCCCCTGCTTGTGTTCCCTCTCTTGCTGTGTCTCTCTCTGTCAAACAAATAAATAAAATCTTAAAAAAAAAAAGATGCAGGCAGAGATCACAGTGGAAGCTGGAAGAGGCGAGGAAGGAATTCTCTAGAGCTTCTTG